TTGGCAACCACAGCTCTGGGGAGGTAGGGACAGGCAGGTGTCTGGGGCTTGCTAGCCAGCCAGCATTGCCTACTTGTTGAGTTCCAGGCCAGTGAGAGACATTATCTTAAAAACAAACAAACAAACCCAAGTGGACTGTGCCTGAAGAATGACACCCAAGATCAAGTGCTGGCTTCTACGTGTACCTTTATGCATGCATGTGATCAAATGGCCACACCTACATCCACTTACACATCATTGCCACCAAAGACAAAATCAGAGCAGACAGTAGGTAATTGGAAGGCCAATGATTGTTGAACTCTGAAGTTCATAAAAATCTGTGCTAATGGGAACATAACATGCAATTAGTAACCCTCCTTCAATTACAGAGGGAGCTGACATGGGGAGAAGTTGCTACTTGCCAAACGTTACATAACTAGTCCAAGGTGATGTCTGCTGAGAATGGAGTTTTGACAGGCATCCCTAAAGGCCTATGTGCATGAGGGCTGGAATAGTTTGAGCTCTTCTCCCATAGCAATTAGCCTGGAGTTAGGGGATCAGAAATCTGCTCTGTTCCTGGCTGTTAGACAGGAAAGGAGTTAGAAATATACCCGAGACACTCAGGGAACAGCCTGTGTCATCAAGTGTCCGGTCTCTTTGATTCTAGGATGGGACAGAGCAGAGCTTGCCTGGTGTTATGCATTGAACAATCTTTAGTTCATTTACTATCCCTAGCTACTACTGTATAAATGATAGTCACAGTATACCTACACATAACATAATCCCTTTGCCATGGAATTTTAATTACTAAGCATTAAGAAAAACTATAGTCAGGGAAGATGGCCCAATGGGTTAAGTGCTCTCTGTGTAAACAATGAGGACCTGAGTTCAGATTTCCAACACCCAGGTAACAGCTGAATGTAGCAGCATGTGTCTAAGTCCAGTACTGGGGATGGGGGAGGGGGAGTCAGAGACATGGGTCCCAGGAGCTAATGGTCAGCCTATCTAGGTGAAAACGAACTTCAAGTTCATTGAGAGACCCTGTCTCAAAACACATGGTGGAGAAGCAATTGAATAAGATATTCTGAAGTCAATCTCTGCCCAGAATGAGCCAGCATACCTTCTCACACACACATTTACACACACTGAAGAGGGAAAAAGAGGTATAATACATAAATGACAGAGCCACTGGCATTATGTTATTAAAACTATATTTTAACAACATTTTGCTTTCAAATGAGATGTAGCAACTTTCCCTGAAGCATTTTTCATTTAATGGGTACTGTGTACCTAGATGTGTATAAATGTAGCATGATGATTTAGCTTGTAGTTTGGAGAAAGATGCAGGGAAGATCTCATTAGATTGAGCTTCAGGATAGTTTCTTTGTAGAGAATGACATTTTACATTAGTAACCTTACCACAACCTGGTGCTTTCTGCTCACTTACTTATCTTCAATGTGTTTTTCTTCTGTGTTCCTGGGGCTTTACATAGTGCTACACTGTGCCTATAAGTCTATGCTGTTGGAAGAACAACATCTACATGACTCAGTTTTCATGCCACTCATCCTTAATGCAAAACAAAAACAGAAAAGCAATAATAAAAGTAAAAGCAAAACAGGAAGTACAGCACTTCAGTGGCGGGGGTGGGGAGTGGAGGAGGTGAGGGGGTGAGCTATTTCTACAATTAGCTGTTAGCAAGCCAAGAACTCTCAGAAGACAAGAGGCTTCAACTGTCTATGGCAGTGAGCATGACTCTTCTTGAATCTCAAGACATACACACTGAACTTTACTATGAAAGAAACCAGGAAAAAGTGCATAAGAAGGGACTTCTCATGGACATATTTTAGAGGCCACACTGTTTTGGACATGATTTTATACACTTTTATGGAATCAAATTTATTAATCTATTTTGTGTGTAACTTTCTTTCATACATACTTAACTCATACACACATTCCTGGAGAACTTTGAATTTTTCTTTTCTCCACTCAAAATCTCACAAATACTCACCTCTCTGTTTTTCTTAGCTTTGGGAAAATATTTCAGTTTTTGTATGACTCAAGTCATTTGAACTTTGTAAAAAATAAAAAGAGTAAAATATAAGGTTAGAATATAATTCCACAACAGACTGAATTTTCACTTTTAATTGCTTGAATAGCCTCTACCTTCTGCATTTCTATGACTTTTCTCTAAGCAAAATGTGAAAAAATATAATCTGCTGAGTAGATATTATTAGACATAGAGTCTATTGGTTGGGGCCAAGGAAGATGAGGAGAGCTGTGTGGGAGTCTGTGAAACTCATTTGGATGGATGCAAATTATCCCTCAAGTCCATCATTTCTTCTGTCCCCAAATCCTCCCCTCAGAACCTTAACCTTTTGCCTTCTTTTCACAACCCAGGACATAATCCAGAGTGTGTCACAGGTTGCATGGAAACAACTACATTCTTTTGGTCTTCCAGACCTTCTCCCAACCTCTAGCCACCGGCCTTCTGACCCACTCTTATATACTCACCCAGCTGACAGACAAATGCAGTTAATAATGCTGTTGGGCTGGGAAACCAGAGCAAAGGAATAGGAAATCTTAGAGACAGGTTATCTAAGAGAGGTGTATAAAAAAAAAGTGATTTTTATTCAGTAAAACTGGGGTGGGGGTGGGTGGGAATTATACAGTCCTTTTCTTACCTAAAGGTATGATTCTCTCTCTCTCTCTCTCTCTCTCTCTCTCTCTCTCTCTCACACACACACACACACACACACACACACACACAGAGAGAGAGAGAGAGAGAGAGAGAGAGAGAGAGAGAGAGAGAGAGTTATACTTGAGTGGGCTCTAGTAGGCATTTCTCTATAGCGGAAATAAGACCTTTTTAAAAAGGTAATTCACTTAAACAGGTGGTTCCCAGCCCAGCATTCCAATCATCTATGGCATGATTTCCCTCTATCTAGTTTTAATGGTATTTAATCTCATTCCACCATATGGATTGAATGCCTATTCTCTGATTTGTTGGGTGCTGAGTGTCTTTACCTGCTGCCCACTAATGCTTTTTTATTATTTGAATGAACTGAAATTATCTCATGATCTTTGAACTGTGTGTGTGTTGGGGGGGGCTGTAACAAAAACAAATAACAAAATACCCAAACAGTACTCAGAGATGCAGCTATCAGTGCCAGGGCTGTTAACGGTTTGAAAGACTTTGTTTGATAGTGTACTTCAGAGGCCAACTCAATGCCATTCTTTCTAAGTTCTCAGAGACCAGCTCTGTAAACAGATGGGTAATTTAAGAATCCTAGTTTCTATGGGGAGTTTCCAGTGATTTTCAGGCACATATACCGATGAGAATAGGGGCAAGCAATTTTGGCCAGTAGAGTTTCCTTTTTAAACTTCTAGCTGGCAAAGGCTATTAGGACAATGTATGACATCTGTGTGTGCTTTATCTCTGCGACTTCTCTCCCCCCACCCCGCCCCAAGACTTTTTAAAAGCCATATAGCTTAAGAGATCTCCTCTGATTAAGTCTAGAATTACTCACTAAAAAAGATAACCTAGTTCTTCCAGCAATTTGTAATGTTCTAGCTAGATTGATAATGGGTGGTCCATTCTTTCTAAATGTTCCATTTGTGCATTCACAGGACGCGGGGACTTAGGTGTCTTGCGACTCTCTTTTGAGCACAGGGCTGAAAAAAGAGGGAAACTATCTTACCCATTCGGGTCAGTACACGGGCGAGTGCTCGTCCAGCACGGAGCCATTAGGTACCAAGCAAGTCGCAGAGCCGGTCCACCCCGCGAGCCGCATCGCAGCCCACCGGGCTTGGCCGGCTCCTAACAATGCTACCCTCCTGTGTCGGTGCTCGGCTCCAGCGTGCCTGCACGTACGTAGCTTGCACGTGTGTGTTGATATGGAGTTCGTGTGTGGACCCCTTAGAATATGCTGAAACCGATTTCGCAGAGAGGCGCGGAAGACAGGTCTAGGGAAGGTAGGAGCGGGTGCGGCGGGCTCCCCCGGCCGGCCTCGGGGCGGGGAGGCAGCGCGGGCCGCGCAAGTCCCGCGCCCGCCGCTAGAGCCCCCCGTGCGCGGCTCGGCCCAGGCCGCGCTTGCCCGGCCCGGCCCCGCGCGGGGAAACACTCGAGCGCACACAATGAACTCCGAGGAGGCTGCGAGCCCGGCCGGCCGCCGCGCCTGAGCCATGTGAACCGCCGCTTAGTGGGGAGCGTCAGCTTTCCCCCGCGGGCATCTTCTGCAGCCCCGAAGGCCCCGCGCCGTCGTCGGGCTGAGGAGACGCGGTGAGTGAGCGAGCGAGTGCGCGCGGCGGTCCAGGCCTCCAGCCGGCGCGCGACGCCCCGGCCGCCTCACCAGGCTTCGCCCCGGCGCGCGCTGAGCCATTTTCTGTGGTGAAAGCCGCCGCCAACATGGCGCCCCTCGAGCCCCGAGCCCTCTGCGCGGAGCCAGCGGGGGGAGCCGGGGAGGAGGGAGGAGATGGCGGGGAGGAGGAGGCGGCGGCCTGCGTCCCCCCCGCCCCCCGCGCCCGTCGCCGGCTGAGGCCCGAGAGGCGCCGGGCGGCGGGAAGGAGGCGGCTCCGGAGGGAGGGCCGGGCGCGGCGGCGGCGACGGCGGCGGCGGCGGCGGAGCGGAGCATAATGGTGGGGAAAGCTCGGCGGCGGCGGCGGGGCGGCTGGGCGGCGGGACGGGCGTTGGCGTCCGTGGCGGCGGCGCGGCCTGAGCTGTGGCTGCTGCCGGGGCCGCGGCCTCTCTGGCGGGCGGCGACTGATGGTGGCCTCGGGGGCTGCCCCAGGCCGGCGAGGCCTGCGGGCTGGGCACTTTCCCTCGGTCCGGCGCCTCTTGCCTCAGGCAGCCGCGAGGAGCAGGCCCGGGGGAAGGCCGCGGAGAACCGCGCGCGGCCTGCTGGCGCCCCGAAGCCGCGGAGTCTTGTGAGCTCCTCCCGCCGGGTCCCAGCGCCTCCCGCCTGGCCAGGCCCGAGGGCCCTTTGCGTGGAACGTGTGGCGGGCGGAGAGGAGCAGTGGAAGCGGCGGTTCCCGAGACCCGAGACCAGTGCCCGTCGGTCTCCCGGGGCTGCAGGCGAGCGGGTTGTGAGGCTTCAGCTGCCTCAACAGGTCCTCCCGGCCGTCCTGCGGGATTAGCCGCCTTGTGCCCATGTAGAACTGGGCAGAGACGCTGATGGGGATGCTGCCTGTGGTGCTGTGGCCCGAACTTTCACTCATGCCTTTTCCCTGGACCGAGCCGAGGGTGCTTTGCGGTGTGTCCGTGGGACTTTGTCTTTGGTATTGTGGTAGTTAGTGTTTGCCGTGTGTCCGGGGTACCGACTGTCTGTCCTATGTGACTTGTGAGTAGCACTCAGTGTCACAGGCAGTATGCACGCTGCACCCAGTATCCTTTAATCTGTATAAACTCCGGCCTGTGCCACTGCACAGCTGAGCTGTGTGCCCTTTATCCCGGGAGGGATAAGATGTGTAGATAGTATCTAGCATTGTGTGCTGTTGTGTGTGCGGTATCTTTGTGTATGGTTACAAAGTGTCATAGAGTGTTACAGAGTATCTGGTGTTAATATCCTTTGCATGATCAGTGTCTTATACTGTGTACACATACAGTACCTGGTTTCCTGTAAAGTTGTATGCGCAGTAACTAGTGTCATATGTAGTATTTACACAGTACCCATGTTAGTGTAGGAGTTATACACTGTACCCAGTGTCTTCTGTGGTATGTATTCAATTGCTGGTTTCATTTGATGTGTACACAATGCCTGGCATCGTGTATGTTTTTGAGCCTGAAAGAAGTGGCCAAGTGGTCCAGTCAGGGAGAAGTTACCCCCAAAGCGGTAGGCAGTTTGAGGGGTTTTTGTGAGTTTTTCTCACTCAGATCCTCTCTCTGTTTCACCTGGGAGTTGTTTCTTACAGTCAACTGTATTGTATGCTGGCAAAAGCATTAAAAATAATCACTGGGAGCCACAGAAAGTAAATGCTTTTAAAAAATAAAATGAGAAATGGAACAGCCTTTAGCTTGATTGTTATGGGATACAAACCTCAGATGACTGGGGAGGGAGGGTGTCACTGATTCTTATTGATGGCTAAAAATTATTAGTGTCTGGCTGTACTCTAAAAGTTTTGAGTGGTTTTGGCAGGCAAGATGGTCTTTGTACTTTTAAAAATCTCAAATGTGTTCAACTAAAACAGTGGTTCTCGACCTTCCTAATGCTGTCAACCTTTAATACAATTCCTCATGTTGTGACCCCAACCATAAAAGTTTTCCATTGCTATTTCATAACTAATTTTGCTACTGTTATGAACCATAATGTAAATATCTGATATGCAGGATATCTGATGTGCAACCCGTGTGAAAGGGTCATCTGGTTCTCAAAGGGGTCGCAACCCACAGGTAGAGAACTGCTGGACTAGAAGTAATGTGAATTTATGTCCTGGTCTTTGTTTAAATTGTAGTAAGTTCATTGGTTACATTGTAGTCAGAATTTTGCCTAACCCTGTAAGATGGAAAGGACAGACAATCAAAGATTAGAAGACATGAAATGTGCCTATGATCAAATCAGAATGTTTCTTGTTGAACTCTGAGAATATTGCTGTACTTTATATACTATCTTTTTCTGCAGAGACCCTTCATGTGAAAACTGTATCTCTTATATTCTCTAAGGTAGACAGTTTGGTTTTTGCAGTTACCAATTACAAGGTGTTTAAACAATTATACAAGTGAGTACTTTCTTTAAAAAGAAAATTTGATTTAGAATGTTAGAACAGTGCTCTAGTTCTCCTTAAATTTTCTTGAGCTATCCTAAAGTTGGTGCTCTGGGTGGATGTCTATTTGCATGCTTCTGTGAATGACAAAGATTTATTTGAACCTTCACCTTTTTGTAACCCTCTCTCCACTTCCGTTTAGGGTGGTTCTGATCGAAAATAATAGAGGCATTCATATTCCAGCTTAACTTAATTGAGATGCTAATTAGAGAAAAGATTTTTGACATTTGTAACAGAACTATCACATGCTGTTAGGACAGTGGTTGCTTAAAACTCTAACCAGCTGCTGGAAGATTTTTATTACCCTCTTTAGCTTTCAATTGATTGACTTTTTTTTTTTTAATAAATCATTAAATCTAACCAAAGAGAATATGTCATGAAAAAAGAACTATCAAATGAGAAGTGAGCCTTATCTCACTGCTTGCAAACCTTCAATTTAACATTAATTTTTTTTTCAGGGAGATTCATTTTGTTGTTTTGGTTTTGGTCATGGCGTAATGATTAAGCCCACAGACCTTAAGGCTCAGTGACTTGGATTTGAGTCTCACTTGGGTCACTTAGTAGCTCTTGGCAAGTTAGGATAAGAAGAACGGGGAGTAACTGAAGCAGTGCCAGCCAGGTTTATGGTGGGAACTGTAAGGACAGATTTTTTTTTTGTGTGTGTGTGTGGGGGAGGTCTTTACAGTGCATGCTTTCCTTCTTGATTCAGGATGTATATAGAGCCACAACTAATAATGAGCTCCCATCTTGACTGTTTTGTGGACGAAAGATGCTGTTTCCTATTTCTTTAAAATGAATTTTTATCAGTTTTATTGATTCTGATACAAGAAAAAGTGGAGATTATATACCCATCTATAGTTTGTCAAAAATGCCCATATGCAGGTTACTTCCCAAAAGTGGTCATTTTGGCACAGGTCAAGTGTCATAGGCCTGGCTCAGAACATGGGTCAAATGAAATCAGAGACCTTACTCCTCTATTTTGAAAGAGCTTTTGTTTTCTGTGGTGGACATTATGTGTAAAACTTTTCTAGATTTATTGTTATTGTGTACATATGCATATGCATAGTGTGTACGGGTATGCATGCTGTGACATGAGTATGGAAGTCAGAAGACAACTTTCGGGAATCCTGGGGAATGTACTAGGCTTTTGTGGCAAGTGACTTTATGGACAGAGCCATCTCACTGGCTCACAATGTTCTAGTTTTAATTTTGATATATTGCTACTTTGCTTCTCTTGGTGTACCCTTGCTATTGTTGTGCCCTCGTTTTGTTTACAAATCATATAAAGAGTAGAAAAATATATATGTATGTATGTGTATGTATGTATATATTTTACTATACTTAGCTCCCTGAGGCAATTTTAACAATGGTGTGTTTTTTGTTTTTAATTCATTACTTCCTAATCCCTGGTATTTATTATCCCTAAACAAATAATAGCTGAAATACACTATCTGAGAGTTATTTTTAACCATTGGCTGTAATTTGATACTTTCCTCACCTATACCACCCTATCTGTAGAGCTTCAGGTGGTGTTTTATATTGCATAGGGAGCGAATCTGCAGAGAGCAACCATTCTGTCCTTTCATTAGTTCATTCTGGAAATGAATTCCATTCCTCACCAACAATTTTCCTAATTGTTGTCTGAGTAGTTGACAAGAGATGAAGGGCAACTGGTTTCATTTGCACATAGCTCCCACACAGTAACGGTGAGCTGCTTGCAGTACCTGTTCTCATGTTGTCCTAAGAAGTGTAGCTTGGTTGTGCTCTGGTAACTGAAGGGTCTAGAGACCCGTGGCTTCCTATGGTTCTCTGTTGAAAAGTTTGGGACCTGCAGTGTAACCACAGAAGTGAGTACCATGACAGTAAAACATTGTCTGCTGTGTCTCCACCACACTGGCCCAGTTGAAAAGAAATTACATATTGTCATCTTAAAAGTATAGCAGTCTTTTAATTATGGGAAGTTCAGTGCCTAGTAGCAGTATGCTCTCCATCCTAGACTTTATGCATGCCTGTGCACTGGAACCACTTGCAGGGGAAGGGGACAGTCCAGGCATTTTGAGAAAGAATGTGATCTGTATAACATGAAAAAGTTCAGGAACTCCTAGGATGATGGGTGAGTGACAGGAATGAAAGCTGTAGCAAAGAGAGAATTTAAATATAAAGTCCTAGCAAAGCAGTCTTTCTTAGTGGCATTACTACTAAACGTGCATGAAATGGGTGACCATTTTAAGTTTTAAGGAAAGGGAGGGAGAAATAGAGACAAGCCTGCTGTTACTGATTTTTTTTCCTCCCCGACTTAGAACATTTCAGTTTTACCTGTGAAAATGTTATATAAGAACCAGAGTCAAAATTACTTGTAAATACAAAGCAATTATCTGTAAAGTAAAACATATATTTGAACGTTTAAACATACTTGCATGGTCTATTATATATATTGAATAGATAAGATTAAGTTAATTGTTAGAGTTAAGTACTTAACAGTTGAACTCCTAATAATAGGCTAGCTTCCATGATGAGATTTTTAATATTTCATTTTTTTCTTTGCTCTTAAATTTTGTTTATTTGTGGGGGGGGTGGTCTGCAGGGGCAGATGTGAAGGGATGGGGAAATAAATGGGGTCAATATGCATGATGTGAAAGACACAGAATAAATAAAAAAGTTTAAAAAAATGTGGCCTATGGCAACACTTTTTGATTTTTTGAAGGTGTTGGCAGGTGAGCATTTCCTATCCCAGGCACACAACAGTGTCTTGGAAAAATGTTACTGTTTTGTAAGGGAGCAGGTCCTGAATGGTGACTCCTGTTGCCATAGATCCCAGAGACATGATCAATCTGGTTTGAATGCAAATTTAGGAGCACCAAACATTCAGTTGGTTGTTGTCAATCTCTCCAAGTTCCATGAACCTTCTGGGATTTTGTACTGATCTACCCATCTCCCTGAAATACCTTTATAAATCTGCAAGAAAAGAAAATGTACATGAGATAGGAATGGGAGACCATGTTCATTTGAAAAAGCAGGAGTTGGAAAGAAAAGAATATTAGAGAACTGATAATCAGAATGTTCCATAAATAAAGTTCAAGTTAGTTCCAATTTCTTTGTTAATGACAACTAGTAATGTAAGAACAAGCATAGATAATTGGTTCATTTTCTCTCCGTTGCCATAGCAGCTCATATTATGGAGACACATCTTGGCTCAGGTTCAAGAGTAGTGAGTGGGGATACTTAAATCTTTTAGTGTTTATAGTAGGAGAAACATGCTTAAAAATACTTGGCATGAACTTCAATGCTAAAGTCTTCTTGCTGTCTTAAGACAGGAAGCCTTTGTCTTGAGTCTTAACTGTCTCTCAATTGGCTAAGTTAATTAGGATTGAATCCTAAATTCTGGGAAGCTTCTCTGCATGCTGAGCCTTCAGATTCAGGGTGTGTTCTGCCGTCCACAGTGGAAGGGTGTGATTCCACAAACAGCACATGCTGTAAGGAGATGGGCAGCACT